CACACACACACATATATATATATTAGAAAAACCTATGATAAATTGGAAAAAGTTTTCGTGTTGTGTGATACGTTTTGTCCTTTAGGACTTCATCGGACTAAAGTGATGTTTACGTTAGTGACATTTCATAGATTTTCATAAAATTGTTAAAACTATGTTAAATCTTTCGGTCATAACTTTTGAGAAAATTCATAAAAACAAGACTCCCGTCCCTTTTGTTAACGCTTTACAATTTTTTTCCATATCAGGTGTGGCGAGACCAATTGCTAATTTGTTTTGTCAAGATTTCGGGCTTCACTAAGAAAAATAAACTTGTCGAATACCCAAATTTTGACATGGCAATAGGACCTGTGCGACATTCAAATGAGATCCCCATACCCAAATTTAAAGAAATAGAGAAAAAAAATCCGAACTTGGCATTCCCATCATGCCCCAAGGCCAATACGGCTTGAGTTAAATATACTCACTCCTATCTGGAATGTTGGTGTCACCAAATTTTTCTTGATCTGATATCCACCCAAAAGTCCAGCGGACTTGGTTGACACTGCCAATCTTAACTGTATATTGGGATCATTAGGATGAACGCTTTTAATTATTTTTTATTTTAATTTTTGTTGTTGTTTTTTTGCCATCCTATTTCAGAATATTATTTTATATTTTTCTTTTCCTTCCTTTATTGTTTTAATTTTCTGATAATACTTGCTCTCAGCACGTGTATATTTATGTATATATATATATATGTAAGCAAATATATGGATATAGATCCGATAGTATGAAAATATATTGAAAAAACAAACAAAAACCTAATATGTGATAATCGCATATTAGGATTTTTGTTTGTTTTTCAGTATATTTTTTTCATATATATATATATATATATATATATATATATATATATATATGCTTACGGAATTATTAATTTCTCCTCCTCCAATCTGTTTAATTTAGAATATGCTTACCCACCGTTATTTATCAATGCCGAAAAATTAAGTGTTACCACCCCGATTTTTTAGTTGGTGTAGACATCAGAACTTATATAAGTCATTATTTAATATGAATTCTTTCCCAATTTTTTAAAAGGTTAATATGAATAGATAGGCCCACCTATTGCTTGGTTTGCACTCCTTCCATATCTATTGAACAGGAGTAGATGTTTATCCCTTGTTCCCTGTTCAAGATATGGTTTACCGGTTCTCTTTCTTTCTTTCTTTTACCAGGGAATCAATAATTTAATTCTCTTAACTCTTTGATGATCAGACTAACCAGTAGCACTTAAAGTGGTTGCCCTGAACCATAGTCGCATAATATCGGGGTACCTGTAGTGCCATCGGTAGGTGTCCTGAATGTATTTCTGGTGGGCAACCCTGAGGCCAAATTATGCTCTGCTCTCAGCTACATTCTGGCTGATTTGTATTGCTATTCACGACAGATAGTGATAATTATGGTAGTCTTTTTCCTCTCTCCTCAAAACATATTTCATGGAAATCACAAAACAAAGAAAGAAAACTAAACCAGCGAACAAATAACCACCTCTTACCCTCAATTTTTCTTTCCCCAATTTTCGCGATATTCACTCCAACTTCTGCAGCGTAGAATCCTTCCTCCTGGAACGGTCACCAGATATCTTTGCCTTTTGTGAAACTAACTTGAATTCTTCCATTGCGACCAATCAATTCTTGGTTCCAGATTTTCTTCCCCTTTGCCGAAAAGATTCCAGCATTCACATGCATGGCCTTGGTGGCATAATCTGCTAATGGCCAGGGAATTGTCTCTCGGGGTCACTGACTACTGTTTCACGTGCTTCTGTCTTTCGCTATTAAACTCTGTCAGCTAGCTCTTTTTCCTTTATCGCTCCCTCTTCCCAAGACTACAGTATATTAGACACAATAAAGAAAGTGACTCATTGCGCCTTCCCGGGCTCTCGTTCTCAGCTGACATGAGGTGGGGGAGGACTACATTGAATGCATCGCTAGATCAGCTGCTAAGAAAGTCTGTTCACTGTGTTCAGTTTTTCTCTCCGGAATCTATCTTGCATATCTATAAGTCTTTCTATCATTCGTCCATGCTTAGAATATTTCTGCCATATATGATCTGGTGCCCCTGCTATTTTCCTGGAGCTCCTTGATAACATGCAAAGAAGAATCAGCAATATTATTAGTCCTAATCTGGCGACTTGGCTTCAGTCAACTGCGCACCGCCGTAAGGTTTTCCCCCTGTGCTTTTGTTCGAATGAGCTCTACGCTATGGTACCTAGCCATCTTGACTAATTTCCAAGTAATTTAGGGGATGTAAGTAAGGAACAAAAGTAAAGATTTCACCAAGCTATCAAAAGTTTGGAGGAACACTACTAAGAGATTCTCACATGATGGCTAATCACTGTTGGTGCTTGAAAAGAGACCTGCCCTCAACAAGCAAATACGCTAGAAAGTCCTGTAAAAGAAAATCTTTGAAAATCAGTGAAAGCTTTATATCTGCTGTTTTTTTTTTTCTTAATTAATTCCTATCCTTCTAATATAATTTTATTCTAGTTTGAACTGTTTGTATTCATGAAACTTGGAAAAAATATGACACATGACTTATTTTTTTAGTCCTAATTTGAAAAATTTGGAAACTGTCACATAGGCTTTTGACAAGAATCAGAACTTGACAGAACCAAACCGAGTTGAAATTCGTATTCAGCGCACACAAATTAACTAGAATTAAGCGTCAGATGTCATTCAATAAAATACGTGTTCCCCAGTGTGAAAACGCTCACCATTGAGCGTCAGTTGATGTGACAGTTTAACAATGTACGACGAATCAGTTCTCAAGACCCAGTTGTTGTCTCCTTGTGTTCGAGCCCAGGTAAAAGACTTTCCAAGTTCTAAACAATTTTTTTCTTATCTTGGCATTGTCCAATACTACTAAGTAAATATCAAGAACAACTTTTTTTTAATGCTATATCCCTTCAGGAATTTGACGATCATGGCTCTCCATTTTTCTGTTTCTTTAATGACTGTAAATTGACATGACTTATTTGGAAAGATAGCAGAATGGCTTCCTGAAATTAATTGACGCTTTTTCCAAAGGCATTATTAAAAAACAAACTCCATATACTTGGCTAGAACTTTGCAAAAATAGTGGAAGGGTTCGATGCTACCTTCTCTACGATTCGGAATTCAGAGTTATACATCTTTTAGACGGGGTACAACTCTTGGCTAGACAGTTCAGTTTATCATTGTGTTTAAACCATAACTGAGGGGAGAACAGATTGATGCGTACCTTGCCAAAGGATACAGTGAATTAAGTCTACTTTCCACACATCCATAGCCAAGTATAGAACCAGGGATGTTAGATTGGGCACATTTTGAAAGCTCTGGGCTTACAAATTTGAATTTAGCAACTTGAAAGTTGTGCTGGAAGAAAATAATTTCAGAATTTTGTATTGCCAGACTTTGAAATGTGTCCCAGTTCTTTAGTTGTAACCGCATCTGGTAATCCTGATATATACTCACTTGAACAGTCGTAGCTTGATGTTTAGCAAGCTAGTTTTCACAAGCAAATATGCTCGTATAATGAGTTCGATCCTCACTAGGTGTCCCATAACTATGGCTTGGTGCGGAGTTAGGCTATGATTAGTACATTTTTTTGTATTGAAATAATAATAAATTCCGATTTACACTCCTTTAACGGCCAAAGATTGACTAATTTGATTTTTACGACTTATCAACACTTTCTATGTTATTTAAAGCCAGAAAATATTTTAGATTGTACGATTTTTTTTGAGATAATAATGATTTTTTATTAATATACATTCAACATAGCTGGGGCGAGGGCAGAAGAGGTGGATCCGTACCTTTCCCGAGGGTATTTGCCCGTAAGTGAATAAAACTAAGTTCTCTAATTAACAGTTCCAAGCCATTATACCACTTGAACATCCTAGCTTACAGCACATAGTATTCCCAAGCGGTCACCCACCTAGGTTCTGGCGAGGTTCGACGTTGCTTAACTTCGGTGATCGTACTTAGGGTGTTGTGATAAAAATGTGAAAAATGAACAAAAGTTTAGCGAAACATCTATAAAGATTTTAAATATTGGCTTTTGTGGAAGATTCCTGCGTTTTCAATTAAAAAAAAAACAGTAGGGCGGTGGAAACATTTGTATAGATTTATTTCTATCACGACTGTTTCTAAATAGCAAGCTAGTCTCACAGGCCATGATTATCATAGTGAGTTTCATTCTCATTGGGTTCCCTCACATATGGTTTTCTAAGGTAGCAAAAAGTAATGAGTAAATATTGATAATACCATGTAAATATCAATTAAAATGCCATATCTCTTCAAGACATGTGGGATCATGACGCTTCACAGATTTCTTTAATATCCTTCAGATGCCATGACATTTTTTTCTAAAAGATAGCGGATGGATTAATTTTGTCTTCTCCGCAATTTTAATTTAAAAAATGTCCTGGACAGGATGCGCAGTTTACTATTTAATTTTTAAAAAATATTTTTTAAATATTATTTTACTATTTAACACTTATCTGGTGGGAGAGAAGAGATACAGGCATAGGTCTCTATTTCAACACATTAGCTGCGAATGACGGGAATTTGCGTCGTCGTATCTATATGACTTAACTGTGAATGACAGAAAATTAGGTTAATAGGTTTAATTAACACTTTGAATTCTGCGGACGAACGGTTAACAGTGTAGAAAATGGAATCGGCGTGCAGAAGTCAAATTCAAGTCGAGACAGTTCGTATTCTCTTTGCACCCAATCTTTTGGGAAAGTCATGAAGTCACCTCTTGGCTCTCCAGCTATGGATTAAATCGTATGGCAGTCATGGCTTGAGTGGCAGCATGACTAGGAGAAGGACAATTCTGAAATCACAACTGTAAAGAAGGTAACGTGAAACCAATCCATTATCTTTCCTAAAAATAATCAAGCCAATTTACAGTTTAGAAATATTAAAGAAATATGTGGGGAACCATGATTAACTACGTCCTGAAGTGGCATACCACTAAAGGATGAAGGGGAGACAGAAGGAAGGAAGAAGGGAGACAGAAGGAAGGAAGAAGAGAGAAGGAAAGAAGAATGAAGGGAGACAGAAGGAAGGATGAAGGAGAAGGAAAGAAGGATGAAGGGAGACAGAAGGAAGGATGAAGGGAGACAGAAGGAAGGAAGAAGAGAGAAGGAAAGAAGGATGAAGGGAGACAGAAGGAAGGAAGAAGAGAGAAGGAAGGAAGGATGAAGGGAGACAGAAGGAAGGGGAGAGACAGAAGAAAGGGAAAGAGAGAAGGAAAGAAGGATGAAGGGAGACAGAAGGAAGCAAGAAGAGAGAAGGAAAGAAGGATGAAGGGAGACAGAAGGAAGGATGAAGGGAGACAGAAGGAAGGATGAAGAGAGAAGGAAGGAAGGAAGAAGAGAGAAAGAAGGAAGGATAATTTTCTTTAGCCTGCAGTAGTTTTTTTTCTTTCTACAGTGTAACAGTTGACTTTATTTACTTAGATTTCACCAAAGAGAAGGAAAATTGTAGTTGCTCTCTAATTAGTTTATTTTTCTTGTAGTTTTCCACTAAACTCTACCTGTAAATGCTATACAGTATTCTATTGTTATAGGCAATAATTCTTTGATCATTTATGTTCTGAACGCTGTCATATCAGATTTGAACCTTGAGGTAATCTGCGAGACTAATTGTTTTTTTTCCGATAGCATGTTCAATTGATTGAAATCATTTGCGTTTATTTCAGGAGACTGGATCTGTGAAGAAGAAAATTGATCTTCTGTACATGTCGAAAGGAAAGTTCGACAGCAAACAGGTGAATAATCCTTATTCAAATTTGTTGTATCGACCAGTAAGAAAAACATGTTGGAGAGGGATTAGAGAGAAAAACCATTTTGAGTTGAATAACTGCAAGAACATTAGTCTTTTTTTTTTTTTTTAGAAAATCGGGCGTTCTCATTTTGATAGATCTGTGTGATCATCTTGCCATAATCGAATTCTAATTTTTATTAAGAAGAAACGGGTGTACGAAGAAAGGCGAAGCAAAATATGTCTCGTTTTAGGGAAAAAGAAAGTTTTCGTTTCAGAATCGTATTTCTCCAAATTCCAACTATTTTAATCAATTATAAATGCTTGATAAAGAACATTTCAGAAATATGAAAATGAAAAATAAATTTTATTATAACTTAATTGTTACAACTGCTACGTTTTTTTTTCCAGCTGATTCTTTTTAATACACTATTTTTGGAGAAAAATTAAAAGCAGGAAAATTAGAGGGACAAAAAGATAAGGGGAGTAAGAGGATGAGGGGAAAGGAGAAGGTACGAAGAAGAGATAAAAGTAAAATGGAGGATGAAGAGAAAGACTCAGAAGTGTTAGGAAAGACTGAGAAAGAAGAAGGAAAGAAGATTGTAAAAGGGTAAACGAGAAAGAGAAACAAATTGACAGATATAAAGAATTAATAAAAGAAAATGAAATTGTATGGAAAGAAAGATGTAGAAAATTATATGAATAAAAAATAAACAAGCATAATGAGAATTGTAGGAAAAGGAAGGAAGGAAGGAGAAAAGAAAGAAAGAATGAAATAAATAAAGAACATGAAATTGTAGGCCAAGAAAATATAGATACTTATAGAAAGAAAGAAAAACAAATAAAGTGAAAACTGTAGGCGAAAAAAACGAAAATGAAAGAAAAGAAAAAAATGTAGAAAATTAAAAAAAACCCAAAAAAACAGATGAGAGTTGTAGGAAAAGGAAGGAAGAAAGAAAAAGTATCTCTACAGAAACCAGAAAAAAGACTAGCAGGTAATGTGTCAGAGAAGAGAATGTGAATGAAGAATGGTATATGAGGACAAACTTATAGGAGGAGTTAGAAGACATTTACGGAGAAAACAGACAGTGAATATTAATTAGGAGTGACTTATGAGAATCCAAAAAAAAAAAAAATGTAGAAGGAGAGAGAAAGAAGAAGAGAGGGGAGGGTAAAAATGAAAAACAGTAAAGCTGAAAGGAAGAGGAGAAAAGAGAAGACAGGGTGGGTGGGGTTAAAGAAAGACAGAAATGGGACGCTAAACAAAAAAGCAGGTCGAATCGAACGAGGAGAGAAAGTAGTAGTTCAAATCTTCAAAATAAAGTTTATTATTTTAATCAAATCTACCTTGAATTAATTTCAGTTTACTAAATGTCTAACCAAGACAGGCAAATAAAATAAAAATAAAGCAACAATGACGACCATCGTTTTGATCAAAACATGCACTTTCGCATGCGTAATGTATACACAGGCATGCATCCGCCTTCACTCTCGAATATATATATAATTTCACTCGAAGCAAGGTGCCGCTAAGACGCAAGAGGTTACTGGGAGTGGAAGAGAATGAGAATTCTTTAGTCAGAGGAAAGGACAATAAAAGAACAGGTTTCAGGAAACCAGCAATTGACGTTGCATTTACATTTTTGAAAATTGTAGGTGGCAGGTAAGCAGCAAAAATTCGTTCGGATATACCTTACTAAACTGCGTGCCAAATTATTATCGAGATAACTTTTTTCTAATATTTCAAAAACTGTCCAAAATTGTCACAAAACTGTCACAGAAAATTTTCGCACAATGTTGGCAACACTGACCTGCGCAATCACTGAAATTTTCGTACTGATCTGCGCAATGTATAAAAACTGGCGCCATATTTGTTATCAGCACTGTGATTTGAGTGTGCCAAATTATTAGAAAAGTGTAAGAATTTAGTAAAAAGATGGGCCATAAAAGCAGTTTAAGTAATGCTGAAAAGAAAACTATCACCTCAGAACTCTCAAAAGGTAAATCTACCCTAGAAATTTCTAAAATGATAGGGAGGTGTCATCAAACAGTGAAAAAGTTCACCACCGACCCTACACAAGTACGCAAAAGAGCAGATAAAGGCAAGCCGAGGGTTATTTCATGTCGTCTCATGTCACGACTTAAACGAGAGGCCACGAAGAACCCTGGACTTACCAGTCAAGAGCTTTTCAGTCGCATGGGGATCCTACTGTGTCTAAAAGTACTCGGTGTCGGTATCTGAGGGAAATAGCAACAACAGTCAAACTTGTATCGAAGACTCCGTTGACGAGAAATCACATTCAAAATCAACTGAAATGGGCCGAGGACAATATGAAGATTGACTTCTCTAAAGTTTTGTTCACAGACGAAACTCGAGCAACATTTGATGGGCCAGATAGATGGTGCTAAGGCTGGGTAATGAATGGACAGAATCGCCATCAGCGTTTGAGACACCAACAAGGCGGTGGAGGCATAATGATCTGGGGTGGTATTATTGGAAAAACATTAGTGGAGAGTACCAGATGGCGTCAAAATGACTGCTGATGCATACATAGCATTTATGAAGGAGCATCTTGAACCGTGGATGAAAAGGCAAAGAGTTGCCTTCAGAAGGGCCATTGTTTTTATGCAAGATAATGCTCCCTCACATGCTGATCACAAGACTACTGAATATTTGAAACAGTTAGGCTTCGATGGACCTTGAAATATGAAGTGGCCAGCAAATTCTCCGGATTTTAACCCAATCGAAAACTTTTGGAGCATCATGAAGCGAAGACTGTACGCCAACGGACGACAATTCAGGAGCAACGTTGAGTTGTGGGAAGCAATTCTTGACGTATCTCGCGGAATCACAGCAGATGACATCCTACAAGTAACAAATTCTATGGATCGCCGTCTTCTTCAAGTAATTTCAAAACAGGGAAAGTACATTCTCTATTAATTTGTTTAAAACTGTGCCTTTGTTTGTATCTGTTATTATTTGTTTGATTATCTTATTTATTAGCTTCTTTTGATCATAAACATTCATGTGCAACATTAATAAACGTTTTGTTTGCTCAATTCTGGGAATTTTACTAAACCTTTCTAATAATTTGGCACGCTCAACTCACCGTGCTGATAACAAATATGGCGCCAGTTTGTTTACATTGCGCAGATCAACACAAAAATTTCAGTGATTGCGCAGGTCAGTATTGACAACATTGTGTGAAATGTTTGTGTGAATTGATTGGACAGTTTTTGAAAAATTAGAAAAAAGTTATCTCAATAATAATTTGGCACGCAGTGTATTTGGATTAGTTTGCTATATTTCCAGACTGAAGGACTGAATTCACATCTGCCAGGAAACAAATATTTCAAACAATTCTTTAATCAACTAGGTCAAGTTCAACTAGCTGGGGGCTTGTATTTCATGAGTGACATCTTTATCAATTCTACCACGGAAACATATGGCTAAACAAAATCGAATCTACAGTCATATTGCCACCTCAATCACACAGATTTTCACGGCATAGTTTATTTATTACCTATTAGAATGTGTATGTGCTATATAGCAAGATGAAAATTTAAATATATGGAAAGTGTTTTAACAGAAGACATCGAAATCCGAAGACATATAGGAATAGCCAAAGGTGCCTTACAAAAACAAAGCGAAGTTTTAAGAAACAGGAAAATTTCTTTAGAAACAACGACAAAAACGAGTGCCCAACTGCTATGTAATATCAGTCCTCCTATATGGCAATGAATGATGAACAATTTCCTCATTGATAAAGAAGAGACTTTAGGTAACACATATTATTAATTGATTTCTTTTCTCCGATTTATGAACCCTTTACAGGTTATTTACAGCTAAAAAAATATTTTTTAGATTGTAAGATTTTTTTTTATCGATAATGATTATTTATTGATACAAGGTTTACTAATAAACTGCGAGGAGAATAAATTGATTTATACTTTTCCAAGGGGTATTTGCGCGTAAGTGAATTTCACGAAGGAAAATGAAATTAGAACTCGGCTCTCCAATGAAGAATTCCGAGTCATTATCCATTATGCCACCCAGACATCCAAGCACCTGGTATTCCCATTATGCCACCGGCACATCCAAACATCTGGTATTGCTATTATGCCACACGCACCTCCAAGCACCTGGTAATCCCATTATTCTATCCGCACATCCAAGCAACTAGTATTCCCATTATATCCCCGCACATCCAACCACCTGGTATTGCTATTATGCCACCCGAACATCCAAGCACCTGGTATTCCCATTATGCCACCGGCACATCCAAGCACTTGGTATTGCCATTATGCCACTCGCACATCCAAGCACCTGGAATTCCCAACCGGATATTCAGAATTGACGTTGTTTAACTTCAGGAATAACAGAGATGTGATTCTACAGAATGTTGCTGAAAATAACATAGACGAAGCATGCGAGTAACGAGAATGTTTGAAGGTAAATGAAAGAAAAAAAATGCTTTTACTTAGAATCGGAAAGAGACAATGGAAATTTCTGGGAAAGAAGTCCAGGAGAATTTGACTCTCACAACATATATTGATGTCAAGAAGGACAGTGGGAAGTGGGGAGTAAACTCCCCAACATGCATGGATGGCAGAGTAGGTTCAGCGAGGGATAGTAAGGGGACAAACATTGCTTAGCGCTATAAAGAATAGGACATTGGGGAGAGCCATGATCAGCCTTCTTAATGATCTTGTGTAAAAGGATGGCAGAACAGAGACTGAGAGTGACAGGCAAGTGACAAACATTGTTTAGAGTTACCAAGGATGGGAAATTGTGGAGAGCCATGAAAATGAAAGAAATAAGAAACAATATTCAGTAATAAAGGAAACCAACAAATTCAAAAGGGAATTTCAAATGGGTGAAGAAGTGCAAATAAATCATAATGCAACTACTGCAGCGGGAAATAACCTAAAAAGAAAGCAAAAGTAAATGTAATGTACCAAATGCAAAAACGATAGTAAGATACAACTCTTCGTGGTCAATAATCTGCCCTTACCAAACAAACTGTAGATAAACTCCGTACCCATCAATGGTTACGTCGGGCAGGGTTAAAAGCTGAAACTGAAGGTTTTTATTCCTGCTGCACAGAACCAAAGCTTGCAAACTAGAAATTACCAAGCACACATACTGAAAAATTGTGTTGATTCCACAAGGATAGAGGCTGTAACAATTTTATGGGACTTTACAATACACACAGAGACAGAACAATCAAAGCTAATCGCCCTGGCATCGTGATCAAAGAACTACAAGAACAGAATGTGTTTTCTTATTGACATAGCAGGTCCCTGCAGAGTGTAATGGATCTTTTAAGGTCTTTAAAAAACTATCAAAATACAACGATCTTGTAGTGGAAGTGAAAAAGTGGCATATGAGGAGATCAGTAATGTCAGTTGTAGTTGGAGCCCTCGGATTGATTGAAAAAAGTTCCAATAGACATTGAAGAGATTTCTGTAGCTTAAAGAAATACAAAAAAAATTGTACTCACAAGTACAGCTCACACATTCAGAAGAGCTTTATCTATGTAAAATGTATGTGATCTTAGGGTTTTTGTTTTCACAAAAATGCTCAGTGGAAAATATCATCTGCCATTTCTGATCTCTGGTTGGGACCCGGAAAGAAATGAGTATACAACAGAAATCAAAGAAAATAATAATAAATCAGTGCAGTCGTAAATCGACCGCAGTCGAGATTAAAGTCATTGTAAATGCCATTTTATAGTGGAATTCAGAGTTGTCCTTCTTCGAGACACGGCTAGATAGCCCAATCTATTTTACCCATAACTGCGGGGAAAGGATATTTGCACCAAAGTGAATGTAAAGAACTCGTCTGGAGTTGAATTTGAACTTGGCTCGCTGATTTCTCGTTCCGAGTCGCCAGCCATTAACCCCACTTGTACATCCGCACAATTTACAGATATTAAAGAAAAAGGAAGCTGTGAAGAACCTATGCCCTGAATGCAGATGACAAAGAGAAGTAGAAGTAATTTCTTCCTTTCTGAGGTGTTATGCGTGACGCATGCTTGGGCGAACATATTTCTCTTCGATTCATGATTGATTTGGCAGAAGAGTTACCGTAGTAGGCTGCCATTACTTTTTACAGTGCTACATGACCCATTCTGTCCTGCGAGGTGAGCTACTTAAAATATTGCTCCTCGGCAGGATGTACAAATATATAAGGGGATCATCATCATCATCAGCAGCAGCAGCAGCATCAGTCCCATAACTGGGTGTGGTCGTAAGGTCGCTCAGCACCTGATTAGTTCTCTCTACATACATGGTTTGAAAGTCGGTGTAATTCATGCATAGCGTGTCTTGGACAACTAGCCCTGACGGAGCCCATCTCTCTCCTGGTTAAAGCACAACTTGAAGGCTCACCAAGGTCAATAACTTCCATGCCATAGTCGTTGATTTTAGTCTAGAAACCCCTCTAGCTAAGTTGCCCAGTCTATTCTATTTGTTCTTGAGGTTGATGACTCTACAAGAAGGTTAATCCGCCCTTTGACAGGTTTTCTTTTTCATCTTTCTGGGAGTCTAGAAAAGTCAGGTGAGGGAATCGGTTTAGTCGCGACTATGCGGCAGATAATAATGGGTTACATGCTACCAGTAGCACTTATAATCTCATATTTGTTTGCATTATATTTATAATATAAACAATTGTACAAATAATTATATACGTTTAAACTGTAACATTTGCTACATTGTATGTGGATTTAAGAATGATAATTACTAATCATGTTTATTTTATTTTTAATTCCATATCTTTCGGGATGTAGGCGACCGTCTTTCTCCATGGACTTTGCTTTATTATTTGTGAATTGCCATGTATTCTTGAGAAAGACAGTGGAATGGTTTTCCATTTCCATCTCCAGGATTTGGAATTCAGAGTTTTCTTTCTCTTAGATTGGTTATCACTCAAATTAAAAAAGCCCAGTCTACCCTGCTATTTATACATAGTGAGGGCAGTGGTGAAAAAAGTGATGGATTCTTGCCTTTCCCGAAAGTGAACGCAACACACTAGCCTGGAATTTGAACTCTGCTTGCTGAATTTCAATTTCCGCGACAATATCCGTTACACTACCCTAACATTAAGGTACAAGGCCAAATTTATGAAAATGAGTGATAAAGATTGTGGTTTGCTAATTTCCTAATTGAGAAGAGCTTGCTGAAGATTTAAATGCGGCCTTTAAAGAAAGAATACTCTCTTCCAGTACTCAGTACTCCTCATTGGCTGTACAACGCTAAGCTTAAAAATAGTAGAATATATAACTGATATAGACTCTTTTTCATGCATATGTGCCGACACATAGTAAATATATATACATTTATAGTATTTCAAATAATCGTCTAAAAGTTTATATACTGTATGCATATTCGTATAATGAAAGGCAAAGAAAATACATCTAAACACTAATTTTCACATAAGTGTACACAGAACAACGGCAAAATACACAGAGACAAAAACTCATTTTTACTTTCCCTAGACGCAGTAATGATATTGTCTGTGGAAATCTCAAATAGCACTTGGCTAAATCTTCGTGACATGGCGGCCATTATTTTTGCGAAATAATTGCTAGTCAAGCCTTCATTAAAATTCTTTGCAGAATCAAAAAGTTATTTCAGAGTCGGGGACCAGTTCATTGGATGCTGGTTCAGAGAAGGTGGAGATGACTTGAATTTGTTGATGCTACTCACGTACTATAGTTAAACACAAAATACAGCTAGATTTTTCGAAAACTGAAAGTAAATAAATAAATAAAACAGTAAATAACCCATATGATCGTTTAGACTTATTTTTTCATTGCTTTTATTGAATTGAAAAATATATTCATTTTCAAGTGAGATTTATTTAATTGGGTGTTGTTGGGCAAAGAGAGATATTGTTGTATGTGGAAGGTGTACCTAAGTAACTAGTGTATTACACAGTTACAATTACAAATGACGTTTCTAATCGTTATATATGTTACTGTAATAACAACTTTAGCCTTCTCTACTCTCCAAGGCACAATATAGACATTAGTATATCCGTAATATATGAACACTTTAAAGAAACAGAAAGAAAGACTAGAACAACACTAAGAGATGAACTTTAGAAATAAGTTAAATATGAAAACAACTTATATACAAAACAGTAGCATACAAACAAGTTACAAATTGTCCCACAAAGACAAATTTAAGCACCTATAAGAATGCAAGCAGTATAGGAAGGGGGCGAGTGAAAAGAAAGGCTTACTTGTCCCCTCGAGGAACACGGTACCATCCTGTCGTTTGGTTTGGTTGATTTTGTTTAGCGGTATATCAACCTCTATGGGTTATTAAATGCCGAAATCTAAACATTTTGTACGCAATTTTATGGTTTCATCTTCAGGTACAACCCAGTAGTTCCAATTTAGAACGTATTTGGTTTGTGTCCTCTTTCGTGGGAAGCCAGTTGCAACTGATTGATTTCTTCAACGGGCTGTCACGTGATCCGCAAGAGTACCTTAAGGCATAAGTAATTTTTGCTGTCAAAAGGGAGATAATCCGTAAGAAAAAAAAAGACTTTCTATAGCTCAGGTCACAGGTAAAAGATTTGACAAAGGAGTGTATCAAACAGCAAAGCAAGAAAGTTGAACATAATCGTATTAAAAGCACAATATAACGAATCAATCATGAAATTCAGCAACTAAACTATGTTATTAGAATTAGGTTAAATTTGCTTTTCTATTTGAAGTTGCCGAAAACTATGAATTTATTCTGTATTAAGTTAAATTGAATTAAGATGAAATGCAAGTGCAAAGTTCGTATAATCGCTATTTCTAGACACTTTGCAGTCCAACGGCCATATCACGTTGAAACACCGGTTCTCCTACGATCACCAAAGTTAAGATCGTGCCTGGTCAGTATTTAGATGGGTGACCGGTTGAGAATAGGGGGTGTTATAAGCCTGGATGCGTAGATGGTGTAATAGATAACGGTTATGAATTGAAAATCGGAGAGGCGAGTTCTAATTCCAGTCGGTTTTTTTATATTCACTTACGCGCAAATACCCTGAGGAAAGGTATGAATCCTCCTCTTCTTCTCCAAGCTATGGGTTAATAATTATTTGTAGGACTTGTACCAGGAAATCATTATTATCTTCAAAAATTTATTTCATTCGAAAAATATTTTCTGGCTTTAAATAACCTGCAAAGTTTGAGAAGCCGTAAAAAGCAATCTAAAATTTTCCCGTCACAGAATACAAAGTCAAACGTATCTTTCACTGCACTCAGCTAGATCAATAATTCCGTAGTCTGAATTCGAATTTAAATTATCACTGTATAATGTTCTATCTATCTATTTAAGATTCCCCACTGAATTAAGTGCATTGAAAAAGGAAGATATCATGTAGAAAACTATTTGTTGTGTATAACACATGCTTTTTCCCTCCATGTAGAACGGATTTATTGATGCATCTATTATAAAGATATTTTACGATCCTACCAAATCCAAGTTCTTTTGCCAGACACAAAACTTAGTAGAAACAACAAATGTCACTATAATAGGTGCGAAATTACAAAAGACAAACACAGCGTAAAATTTTAAAAAGGAAAAACACATTTTACAACATTCCAAAAGAAAGGTATAAATACAAGGTTGTTCAGAAATGTCCCTTTATGCGCCTGTTACGTCAGGATAACAATTTTCAGAAGTTACAAAAAGGGGACAACCATCAGACATAACTAAAAATGTGTTATAATATTTAGAAAATGACACGGATGCAAAGAGAAAAAATATTGCACCGTTTACAAAATGGAAAAAAGGGGAAAAACATAGAGGAAGTAAAAAAATTGCACAAAGCAGAAAAATGCAAAAAAGCACCCATTTCTGTTCTTAATAGAATACTCAATAATATGACGTCTCAGCACGAAGTGGTTTTCGTATTTTCACAAGTTGTTATCTCGAGGGCCTTTTGAAGCATATTGCAGGAAAAATAACTAGAAACATCTTTCGGCTTAAATTTTTCTCAGGAAGGCACAGAAAGGAATATTCTGTCCTGGGGTTTGAATCTACTTTGAATCTATCAGTACTTCCTTTCTCCGAGTTGATTTATGACTCTCTCAGCCAAACCAATCCTTTTGAAGCGTGGGCGTTAATGCATTCTTCCTCCTCAATCGTTAATTGGTTTCTCAACGGTTCTTTCTTTCCGATCTGTTTATCCGCTCTCATTGACCAATATTTATAAAACCCTTCTCCAAGAATTTGAAAAACGAATCTGTGACAATTCAACAAAAAATTTTGGTGGTCAACCGCTTGAGTATAACAATTTTTACACAAACCGTCTGGCCTTCGGAAAATACACTTATCTAAAAAACGTGTATTAAAAAAAAACAACCTATACGATTAATACTTTTAGAATTCTAACATTTTTAAAATAATAAAAATAACATTTTTATACTATGTATGATGATTTTGATTGCATTACTTTTGTTATACATAGTACTTTCTTATGCTGATATTGTAGTAATCTGTTATGCTTTTTAGATACTGTATAATTGCTAACATTTTGTGGAAGTAATAGATATAAGAAAGTGTTCACCTTTCCATGTAAATTAAATGACACGAGGTTGTTGCTTTAAGAGAGAATTGTGAGAATGGTGTTAGGAAATCTGTTAACCTCAAAGATTATTGTCATATTGAACAGGGATGAGAGACATGCTTTCCAAGCCAAAACGAGTTTCGGAAAACTTAAAGATCGGTTTCCAGAAAATGGTTCTGAAAAGCGTTTCTGATTTGATGGAAAATATTTGATTTGTTGCATATTTTTATTACTGAAGGAATTTGTTTCGATCCTCTCTGTTAAAACCATTCTTTTTATTACTGAGTGGAAGTTTCTTCTATCTTATCTTTGTTAAAAGCATTGTTCTTTTTTATCTCGCTGTTCTTGCTTCGACCATATATATGTTTGTAAAAAGCATTAGCTTTATTAACTAGTGGAGCATGTGGGGTTAGTGTAATGGACAGAGATTTAAAATGAGAAATATGACACCCGAGTTCGAATTCCAGTCGAGTTCCTTACATTCACTTACGTACAAATACCCTTGGAAAAGGTATGAATCCATCTCTTCCCCAGCTATAGGTTAAATAGTAGGACTTGTATCTGGGAATATTATAGATATTCTAAAAAATAGTTAATTATTCTTATAAGCTAAAACATGTACTGGCTTTAAATAACACGCAAATGGTTGATAATCCGTAAAAACCTAATCAATCAGTCGCTTATTAAGTTGTAGTATCAGCTTTGATTTTATATTTTGTTACCTAGTTCAATTTATTCTATTTAATCTATTTTAATATGTTTTTAGTGTCAAGTGGAACCTGTTTGTTAAAACCATTGTTTTTATTACTGAGTAGAACTTGCTTTGATCTTATATTTTTGTTAAAACTATTGTTTTATTATCAGGTGAATTTATTCGATTTTATCTGTTTCTAAAATCTTTTGTTATTTCCAAATGAAGCATTTTCTATCTTATCTGTTTCTAATTACTGATGTTTATATTACATAGGGGAACTTTCTTTGATCTTATCTCTTTGTAAAAAAAAAACACAAAAAAAAACATTGCTTTCATTGTCTAGTAGATTTTGTTTCGTTCATATCCGTTTGTTAAAAACATTGTTTTTATTAACTAGTGGAACTTGTTTCAATCTTGATTGTAGAAACTATTGCTTGTCAACAATAATTAATTTTTGACTCGTATTTATTTCATATTCTTTATCTAATAAACATTATGGTATCTTTTTATTTACTATTTCATTTCCACTTTTCGAGGAGGGAAAACGTAATCTCGTAAAATGTGATATCATAGCGTTAGAAGAAAAGAGATATGAAACCAGTATCTCTGTATTGTCTATAGTTTTGAGAAGTGTCATTTTCATTCCAATAGCTATTCATACAACTGAACTCAACTGTTGTTTCCATAAAGTGACTCAATAGTATTCGGTATGGAGTTCTGTGTTTAATAAAGAAAGGGTCTGAGAACATATAAATGATGGAATAAGGAGTCTTGCATACGTTACTGAAAATGGAATGACCTCTATTCCAGGCATTGTCCTGAACGTTTAGTTAGGTTTTGCTCTCTGCTTTGTACGGCAAAAAAGAAACAACTTCTCTTTGCCTACATACATACATATATACATACATACATACATATATACATACATACATATATGCATACATACATGCATGCATACATGCATACATACAGTGCACCTGAAAATATTTCTGCTGATCCATAGTACAAAGAATGAGTTCAATAGTGTAATAATTCTTAAAAGGTACTTCGGTACTTGCTGTGTGAATTGGCGTAATTGATTGGATGAGGAAGGTTACTTGCTGTTATCATTTGTACAGTGGAATATCTTTTGTTACAGATTCAAACCTAAAGATTTCGACACATGCTTGTACATGTAAGAGGTATGTCTGAAAAGTATCCAACCATTTTGTGTATCTTGAGAACCGGTTGCGCATCATTGATGCAACTTGCCAGAGGAAACCTTACTGCAAATGCATTAACGGACATTCTCCCAAGTGAGATTGTGCACTATGTTTTCATCACGAAACTGCACCTGTCCATTATTCACATAAGCATTGCATCGCTTAAGCATGTGAGTCTCGCCTTCTTCCTTTATAGGCTTATCACTATAGGCTTATCACTATAGGCTTATCGCTATAGGCTTATCACTATATCCCGTTGAAAAACCGATTGTTTCCCTTTTCCTTAAAACTTTCTCGTTACTCGCATGCTTCGTCTATGGTATTCTTAGCATCCTTCTGTAGAATCACATCTATGTTATTCCCAAAGTTAAGCAACGTCAAGCCTGGTCATTGCCTAGATGGGTGATCGTTTGGGAATACTAGGTGCTGTGAGTTTGGATGTGCAGGTGGTGTAATGGGTAATAGATCGGAATTGTTAATCGGAGAGTCGAGTTCCAATTCCAATTGCGTTCCTTAGATTCAGTTACGCGCAAATACTCTTGGGAAAGGGCTAAATCTACTTCTTCTCCCAGTTACGGTTTAGTTAATAAAACTTGTATCACTAAACCATTATTATCTAAAAACTTCTTACAATCTAAAAAATATTTTCTGGCTTTAATTAACCTGAAAAGGGTTGATAAATCGTATAAAATAAATGAATGAAGGAATCAATCAATACTTTTTATATAAATGTTGCCCCCCTGTGACTTCTGGTTTTGCTAAAGCTGAAATCACCGCTGAAAGGGATATTTCAGATTGTGGACGAACATGAAATTGCAAACTTTCTAAAGATATAACGACTTTGGAATCCGTGAATTAGGTCCAAAGAGAAGTCTGTTAATGATACCCAAGGCGACATTGCTCTAGGTAAGTTATGTTTTCGGAAATTTTAAATGACTGGGAAATTTTCGGATAGATCTTGTAGTTAAACGAGAGTAAAAACTTCAGTGAATCGGGAAGGAAAAACCGGGAAACCTCCACTGAGAATTCATTTTGGCATAATCCTCGTAATCGTGACGGAACATTCATGTGAAATGAGTCACTTCCAGGTTACCACATTTAAGCTTTCAAGCAAAATCAAGACAGTTTTTGACTTTGTAATTTATTGGTGCAGTTATCGCTGATATATTTGCCTTTGTTGGCGCAGATTGAACCAGGTCTCCTGACCGAGATAGACGGATTCAAAGATCCAAATGGCAGAGAATACTTGTTTATATTTATTTTTTGCAGTACTTTATTACATTATTATTAATATTATTTATTTTTATATGACGATTGATGCAATCATTTGCCATGTCTTTCGCGTGTAATCTAAAATTAAATAATTTTTGTTTAGGAAGTTATTGATCACTTTATTATTATTATTGTTATTGATGGGAAAATTCGTATGTAAATTCCATTATGCTAAGTGAGTAATTTAACTAATAAGATTGTGTAAATAGCAGAAGGATAATAAGAAGTCAGATATTACTTAGAGCTTCAAACAATAGAAAGCTGTGGAGTGCCATGATCACCCGCGTTCATTTTGATTTGTCTTTACGGCTTATCAACTCTTTGTAGGTTATTTAACGGCGAAACATATTGGATTGTTAGAATTATTAATTTCTTTTTTTGTGAGTGGATATTGCCATATTTTTAGAATAACAGTGATTTTTTCAGATAGAAGTCCTACTATTTAACCCATAGCTGGGGAAGGAGGTGGATTCATACCTTTCTCAAGAGTATGTGCGCCGCGTAAACAAAGTTACGAACCCGATTCGAATTCGAACTCTGCTCTCCGATTTCTCATTTCGAGCCACTATCCATTAAACCATCTGCAGAAGAAGTAAGGATTTGTGGTTTACAAGAATTTTTTTGGCTGGTGTGATTATTATTTCTTTTTTCATCTGTTTAGAAATTCCGGAATTGTGTTTGATGCCATTCAGTTCAATATTCTCTAGTTTCGCATTCGCTTTCAGAAACTGGAGTAAAGCAGCGTCGAGCTCCGTCAGTACTTAGATGGGGGGGCGTTTGGGAAACACCGGGTACGTTAAACAATCTCCTCCAATCCGATATATATATATATATATATATATATATATATATATATATATATATATATTCCTTTATCTTCTACAGTTCTTAATGGTCTGGTGAGATTTTCTTTTTTTCACGTGTATTTTATTGCATTGCTAAGAAATCTATACAATCTATATGCTTTGGAAACCGTCTATTATTTTATTATTAAATAAATTGTTTATTATATATTAATTATTTTATATACAAGTGTACTGTATTCATCATAAAAGCGAATGTCATTTGCCCGAACATTGGCTTCATCGAAACCGTTAAAAATGGAATCTTCACTTCACTAATCAAGTTAGAAAATTAAAGGGAGATAACTTTTTTATTTTGTTGCGTTTATTATCCTTTTCTTAGCTAAAGCTTTTAAACGTAACTGTCTAAACTACATTAAAAGACATCTTAATGCTGCCTGAAAGTAACAAGTGATGTTACTGTGTATCGCCCCCATTAATCCTAGTAATCGTAGAATACAGATTTGGAGAGAAAGAGATAGAATTGCAAATCATGCGAAACTGCATACACAAATTAGATACTTTCAAATCATTCAGTTATACAGAAAACAATTTATAACAAATAAGAAGGAAATGTACAAGTGTTGTTAGCGTATAAAATGTC